CATTGAATTTAAGTTATAAATTCAATGATATTATGAAGGTGAAATATCTCAACACATTCTCTTCCATTGCCCCTCGGAGATTTTCAATCTCTGGTTTGATTACTCTTCCGTTTAGCATTAACTCTCTCTAACTCTTAACTCTTTTATAAGTTAGCGATGGTCAAATGCAGGACTTCGTGGCCATTTTTATTGTTGCTTCATTGTCGAAAAATATTCTTGATACAGTCTCTTTATCCATGACAATTCACAAGGGGTTTCTTTAGAAGCAATTACTTCGGAGTCTGTTCTTGATCTCACTACAGAAGTTTGAATAATCCAGAATAGTGGATTTTGTGTTGCTGCTGATGAGCCTCCACCATGATCTTCACCACTGAAACGTTTTAATCCTCAGGGTTTACCACCACAGGGTGTCCCAATTTCGATGTGAAACAGGGGTTGTACCTTTATTACCAAATATTTGCAGTTACTAAAACTTACGATGACATAATCAAAAATTGCATGCGGGAAACCAAGAAAATTTTTTACAAAGACGTTAATGTCTTAAACAATCGCAAAGGAAGAAGTGTCTTTACGTAGAAATCAGTGGCGTAGATATAACTTTCACATAAATAAGTCTCCCCGTAAATGTTTATAGTCTCTCATATGGGTCCAAAGTTATGAGATTCGTTCAAGCTGTGAAAAGACAACGCACATCTCATTCGATAGTATTACGAACATGTTACGACGCTTATTATTCAGAAGGGTGACGTTTGCGACACGAGCAAGCTTGCGAGCGAATGGCCCCATTACAATTTCCAATGTTTCAGATGGTTGCATGCATTGCGAAAACTGTGAATTTTTTACATCAATTTTTTGTGCCTGGTTTTTTCAGGTCTCGGAGGTTAGTGGAAAGCCACATACATTGTTTATGGTGTCTCTTCTTACAGTAATTGCAAAACAAAAATATTCCCATACGTTTTTACGTAAGCACAGTTCGTTAAATATCAATGGTTGCCCGTAATTCTTTTGACAAGATTAATTTACCTTCATTTACATTTCACATATACATTGTATGGAAGTGGAACACAGTATGCATAACTTATACTTCCACCTTGACTAGTTGGAGTTGGATTCTTGAAATTCAATCTTCATTTTAGCAACTTCTATTCTTATTATTAATCTTCAATCAGAAACTATTTATAACGTAATAATCACGAAACCTTCAGATACAGTTAGTTATTTTTCTGACACATTCTATATTCTTGCTGGTGAAATATTTCAACTCAAACCGCCCAGAAATGTATACCTTTTATACCTAATGGAAAATATTATACTTGAGTTGTCGATTATTTTATTAATATTAATCATGATCATTTTTCTGTACTACACCTTGAGATTATAAGTACACAAAGGAAGTACTTACCTACTTTTTATTATCAATGACAAATTGGAGATAAATGATAAAAGGTCGATTTATGGAGCCTTGTTTGGCCATCCAGCTTCATATGGAGATTCAAATTATAGCCTTGGGTGAAGATGGCAGTCCCAAAATATATGACAACCTTGTAATACAGACAGAAAGTCACAATTTACACAAAAAACAGGGTGGGGATTATCCTTATTATCAAGGTCTAAGGTAGGGTGGTTTACGAAATTGCGGTTTAAATTGTACCTCTTTATAATTATTATGATTTTCATATTTCTTGTTGTTCGTTTGTTTATTGGTTCTTTGTACCACTACAAACTGACATGCTGTGGGATGCGAACTCGCCACCTGTGAGGTCTGTAAAGTCCGAGTGTTATGGCCGTTTGTACCGACAAATTTAAGCGCTAGCTTAGCTTAAGCGTAACTTAAAATCCATGACAACCATTGTCTCAATAATCGTTGCCATGGATTTTAAGCTACGCTTAAGCTAATCTCGGCTTAAATTCGTCGGTGCAAACGGCCATTAGGGCCAATTGCAGCGTCAAAATTAAGTATCCCTTAAAGTTAAGTATAACTTAAATACCATGGCAACAATTGTCTTAATAATCGTTCCCATAGATTTTAAGTTTGACGTAACTTGAAGCAAAGCTTAATTTGTTGGTGCAACTGGAGCGTAAACCTTTAGTGTGGTGTCACATTATGCGTTTTTACCGCTTCCGCTAAAACGGATGCGGTTTGACAGGATGAGATCTACTTGTCACACTATTCCGGTTTAAAGGGATGCGTTTTTGCTATATTTTGGCAGTCTAAGTAGTGTCATGTCTCAATTATTGTTAAAGATGGTTTATGCGCTTGAGGCGGAAGGGCTATTGCGAAATATTGTCAATATTGGATTGATCCTTTTAATTCAGGACGAGAATCTAATAATAGGTTCGCGAAGTTTTATGAAAAAATTCCAATGAACAAGAAAAAAATTTTTGTATATTACCGAATGTCCAAAAATTCAATTTCTACCCATGATTTCTCCCTACAGTTTTTATCTAGATACTCTTTAGATTGTTTTTCCCACAGTGCAGTTTTTGCATGCACGCACTCGATGAATAAACCGACATCAAACATTGTAAACCTAACAAAACACCCGGTTGCAACGCTCAGTGTGACAACTGATGACAACCAACGTGCAACAACACGTGGTTTCATGTCATTGTGGTTGTCATGTCATCCTGCGCAGCGGCAGCAGGATGCGGTTGCATCCGGTTGGTGCGGCGAAAACGCATATATGTGACTGGTACCATTTAATAACGTGTGATATTATCATCCCGTCAAACAGGAGCGTTTTAGCGGGAGCGGTAAAAACGCATAGTGTGACACCACACTTATACCGAACTGATGAATATTTAATGTCATTTGTTATATTACCTATTGTTAATTGTCATAGTTATTTTCTAGTTTCATGAGAAATAGTTTAAATTGTGCAATGTGTGTTTGAAAATGAAATGAAGTGAGTGGAAGAAATCAAAGAAATAACGTGAGGTGAGTGAGAGAGGTTCAAGCGCACGTGTCCGAGGCGCACTTTTGGTTGGATGTCGACATTTGACGTCTGACCTTCGGCAAGTTCGATTCAGTTCTGTTTGTTGACGGAAATAGTCCTGTTTAAATTTGAAAATATCTGAAACCAATTTTGTGTACGTATCAACAAATTGATCATAATTAAGCATAACACATTTATCTGGATCGTTAAAGGGTTCGAATAAACACATATTAACACAGACAAAGTTTATTCTAAGCGAAGTATAACAAAATCCGTTTTACACACCCCGCATAAGCGTGCGATAACAATTAAACAAATTAATGAAATCTTGAACTAATCTTCTTCTTAGGGACACAAGGAACGTAATTTTACAGCATTGAATTAGACTGACCGCCCAAGGCACGAACGATGAAACGATGGCTGTTCGAACAATAGATGAAAACTTGAATGAGAATATTTTAATCCAAATTTTCATACTTTCACTCTAAACTCGGTAGATGTTCTAAACTTTACTTGACGAGTAACTTCGTGAAAACTATGAACAGTTTTCTGTTTAATAAAAAGGCAAATTTGCCACAAAATTTAACGCAGAAAACGCGTCTGTTAAACTTTTAACGAACAGCAACCTGGCCTCGAAATTGGCAGAAGGCAAAGTCACCCTCCTACTGTCTAAAATTCCTCCAATTACCGGACACGTAGCAACACAACAGCGAATCGCGCATACCTTCTTTATCCCTGCTTGAGTCACGCTTAAAAATTCTACCCTACATTTTCTCATCTTCGTTAACTTTTTCAACGAAAACACTCCGTTTTTGCCTGTTACAACGCATTCTTATACGTTAATAAATTAAATCATTCTTTGAACAAAAGTAATGAAAGTTCCCATAAATTAAAACTGCCACTTAAATGATTTAACAAAGCAAAATTGCTAACAAAATAAACGATAAATTACCCTACATTTAACAATTCTAGGAATTAATCTTTTGAAAAGAAAAACAAACCACTGATACAACTAGAAACGCAATAATCATTTTATGTTTACAGACCCCATCGGAATAATTAAATAATTTGAGAAGAAAATTTGACTAACATTAATGACCCGTCCTTAATTCAGGCGTCTGGACAACACATCAACGTCCACATTGATATTTTTTAGTATTTCTACTGAGCTGTCCGCATTTCGCGCTTTACTAATTAGAATTACTAATGCCATGCGTCACTTTGACAAATATTTATTTGAATACCAAAATATTGCTAAGTACCACGTGTAAGTACGCGTTAAGTATGAGTAAAGTGTAAGTCCACCCTTAGAGAGTCTAGGAAACTTAAAGAGCATCTATTAACAATGACAGTCGACCTTTTTTTTAGATTTTGACATTTCGAGTGTTACTAATACTTGATACTTTGGCATATGCCTGCCGTCGCCCATACTAAAAATATGTCCACAATGGTAGAAAACTGTGATTGATGTATTGGTATAATGGATTAAGAAAACTAGTGTTTCGCTTTTATTGTTGCATAAAGTCTCATTTACGTACATAGTGTGCTCGTGTTTAATTCTGAGACTACAATCAAATTTTTAAATTTTCAGTGGCGTTGGTCTGGCATTTAAGTTGTTTTGATGTGGTCTATTGAAAAGGATACCTACATATGGAAATTGTACGTATGCATTCTTTTAAAATCTCTCTGCATGTTTACAAACCCAATGGAAACTGTTGGGAAAGAATTTTTAATAGCAATGTTTTTATATCTGTACTTAAAACTTAAATATCCACAATAAACTTGTTGACGATAACTTTAGGCATAATTGAATATATGTATAATATATGCAAATTTTCCATGAATTATAATTTACATAAAAGTTACTACTGACTATAAATAATGGTTTCTGCATTATTAGTCTATTTATCAAAATTGGAAGGTGCTACAATAAAATTAGAAAAATTCTTAAATCGCTCTACTATAAAAAGTTAAGGTCGGGATCGTCTCTACATACTGAGATTCTGGGAACAACTGGGTTTAAGATATACTAACAAAATACTAAAGCGTTTGTTTTATTTTCAGTTGTTTGGAATCCTGCTATTGGCATTTAATCGAAAAACGTTTTTGCTACGATGAAAGCATCGCCCTATACGAAGAACCAGCGAAACCAATCGAGAAATCAACGAACGCTTTTGACAATATCGCCTTTTACGATCAAGTAGCACTAATTGCCGGACGATCGATTGTCACGATCGAACCATTGCCAAAAAAACCGAAAGCGATAACTCAACAGCCGAAACCAAGGGTGCGCTGGTGGGAAACGGAACGAGAGGAAGGAGAGAACAACAATAACGCCCCCCAAGTTCAGGTGAAGGTTTTAGAAATTGACGACCAGCCACCCAAAGAAAAACCCGCAGTCAATCGTCTCGATCCCATGCTGTTAAATCTGGGTGAAGTGAAGTTACGACCGAAATCCTTGGCGGAAAGACGGAACTCGCGCAGTCTTACTCTTAACATCGACCGCAGGCACGAAATACCCATCATAAGACAGGCGTCGATGCCGAAATTCTTCATTGACACGCCGGAGGTCCACACCGATCCCGTCGCCTTTAGGGAGCCTAGCGCGGTATTCATAAGTCCTTTGTCCGTGAACCATTTGTCGGATCCATTCGACTTAAAATCGGTGGTCCAACTCGAGAAGGATAATCGAAATGTTCCAGCGGCGCCCATCCATAGGCAACAGTCTGCCTACTTCTCACGACTGTCACTAATTAAGGATAAATTAAAAGCTGGCAAATTAACAAGACAGGGATCCGCATCCAACTTACCGCACAGTATACAGCACATATAAGTGATCTATGACACAGTCACGCCTTGTGATCAAAAGTAGGATAGACAGCTTTACTTAGGCAGTACTTACGTAGCTATCCTTACAATGTGATTTATTACTATTATTTAGGAATAAATAATTTATTTTTTCATCGTACGTCATGGCCTTTCTGGAAACTCCCTCGGAAATTCTTTATGACACTACAGAAGAGAACATGATTCACTTTTCTTTTCACGTCAGTCCCTCCATATACTTATGCGAATGACTATTCTGGTTAAAAATATTTATAGAATTACTACTGCGGTATTACTAGTGTGTGTTCATGTTAATATCTAAAAATACACTGTTAAATAATTCATCGCAGAGACCGGATGAATTATTTATTTGGAGATTCAGTCATCTATGAATAAGTCAAAGAGTTGAGTATTTGGCTACAATTTCATAAGAAAGTTGTTAGGTAGGTGCATGAAGGTTGTGATCTTTGTAGTCTGCATTCTTAAACACTCCATTCTCTTTCAATTTCTAACAATCACAACCGCCATCTTATTTCTTTGCGAAAATTACGGTGATAAGGCGCAGGTTGCAAGCTCAAAAGAAGTCCCTTTGTCCTGAGTACTGTCATTGGTCAAATTATTTTATAGTAGAAAATTCTGCTTATAGCATATTTTGTTTTTCCATAACGTAAATTATAAGGAAAAACAACGAATTCATCACTAAACAGCTAATTTGTTAAACAATTTTTAATTCAAATCGAACGGGGTTCGTTCACCGCTTCTTTTTTGTCTGGGAGCACAATTCGAATAGACAACAATTAGTACCTACAGTCAAATTAGACCAAAAAAATGGGCATTCCGTGCATCAGATTATCTTTATTTTTCCTTTTAAATTGTTAGGATGAATATGGATGTGAAAAATCCAAGTTTTCGACATTGAAAGTCCTGTGCGAGCGACACTGCATTTGAAAATATGTAATTTCTTTTACCATTTTTGGGTTTTTGTAAGTTTTACTCCTGAAGAACCGATTTTAATGCAATTATTGTCGTATACTTTTTTGAACTAGACAAAATTTGACAACTTAAGCCCTTAACGATTTGAAGTAAATTTGTAACATGCGCTACAGTAGATGCTTTTACGTAACGATTTGTCTATTGTGAGGGTTGTAATTTTGTAGTTTCCGCGCATGGAAGGCTTTGTAACGTATTTAAGTGCTCCATAGAGTATTTAGTATTTACCAGGTCCTTTGTCGCCTCTTGCTCTTGTCCTGGAAATGTCAAGGTGTACAAAGCACTCGGAAGGATCTCAAATGCTCAGGAAAATCCGTTAGACACTTCGAGAAGATCCTGAAAAGGGTCTAGTACGCTATGGAAAGGGATTATAGTTTCTGTAATACACTTAAGAAAGCAGTAGACGACTGTACAATAGAAACAATTGTAGGAAAATACTTTCCAGAGCATTCAGAACGGCGGAAAACTTTTCAGTGCTTTTAATAATTTGACCATTCTAGTTTATTCTGAAGAAAAAATAGAACCTTTTTAATATTTAATCTTTATTTCTTTTAATTACACGGTAATACCCTTTTGTTGCATATGCAAAAATATAAATTAAATTCGAAAATAATTTCAATTTACACTAAAAATCTATTAGATGCTTATTACAATTGAATACATAAAGCTCACGAGCTAATATCGCCAGTTTGTGACATTAAATTCTTTTTTTAAATTATTGCTTCACCATGTGCAATGTTGTATATTACGTATTTATACTTTAAATATATAATAACCACAGTATAATTATTAACACAAACGGGTAGGTATAATTTATGAATTACTTCTTTTTATTATAGGTAGGTACATAATAAATTTTGATAGTAAACGTCAACTAGAAGGTATATTTTCACAATTTTTTGTAAAGCACTATTTAATTTAATCAAAATAGTGCCACAATATACAGATGCACTGGGTTACAAAAAAATTGAGCAGACATACAATATTCATTTTATCGCTTAATCGTACTGTACAGCTTATAATTTAAAATAGTAAAAATAAAATATTTACTTATATACAAACGTTAGTTATTTCCCTACTTGGTTGGAGACTTTCACTTGAAGCCATGATAGATAACAAATACATAATGTACACATTAAAATAACAATAAAGCAATTAAGTGCTTCATAGAACATCACATTTTCTAGCAATTTCATTATCTAAGTTAATAACATTTCTCTTTTCATTTCACATTTTCATTTTCACAACATATCTATCCTATAACATTTAGTTATCTATGCATATGTCGTAAAGGTAACAGAATTGTAACAAAAAGCATCAGTCTTCAGTATATATAGAGATCAAATCTGAATATTGTTGGCTAAGAGGTACTAACAAGTGTCTACAGTTTCAACCTTCTTTCTCAATAAATATTAATTACCTACGTCAAAATTTGTAAAAAATTTATTTAATAGGAGTTATCTACTGCGCTTTACACGTGTAACAGCATTGATGTTGATATTTTAAATCATTACACAAGTCCATTAGTTTAACATTTTCGCAGTATCTGGAACGATCGTAACATACTTCTTCTAGAATGACTTGTTTAATATTGTACAAGTTTGTTTGTTAATAACTTACTACTATTTTTAAATATACACGGTGGGCCGACGCAACTTTTCGTAACTGGAGGACGATCTTGGTTGTGGCACGCCGATCCAGCCGAACGTTTGGTACCTTGCCAAACGCACTGAAGTACCCGATATTTAACACTGCGCGTGTCACAGTTCGCTGAGCACTGTGAACAAAAACGATTCATTACTGCACGTACTCGCTCTTTAACCGCAAGAGTAGATAAAGTGAAACAGATGATTGTGAATTCTAATGACATTTGTCGTTCTTATGGTCGTTTTTGAATTGAACATCTTTAATCGACAGTGAAAAATTCGAAATTTTTGAGATTGGATGATTAGATCAAAAATCATTTTTTTTAGTATCAATTGATTTTATTTAAATATTATATAAAATATTTCGAACATTTAAAAAAGGTTTAAAGATTTAAGAGAGGAAGAAAATTTCGTCTAAAAAGATTGTAGAAGGAAAAGTGCCCATAACACTAGCAGCATTTAAAAAAACGAAAAGGGGTATTAACTTTTGATCTCACATCAAATTTGACGACTGTTTGCTACCGTTTTCATTATTTTATCGCATTTTGCTTCATTAGCCGATAAAAAATCCGTTAGTTTCATAACGAACAATTATACAAGTCTTCTGCGCCAAAAGTTGTATAACGCAAAAATGCCATCGGGTTGACCAAGAAAAAGTAAGCAACTTTTTTCTAATCTTATTCGTTAACTGTGCAAAAATTATATTATATTAAATTAATATTTGTGTAGATATTATAAGCAGTTTACGTTTGTATTTTAGAACAACCTGTATCAGTATTTTCTTGCCGATTAATATTACCGATTTGGATTCCGCTTAAGTATCTATTTGAATTATTGTTTTATTTATATTCTTATGCAATCTAGGTATCTTCTGTGTAATCCACTAGTTTAGATGTAAATTATTTCCGTAGTAGGTTTCTTTATTTTCACTACTGTTATACATTTCTTATTGCTATAGTTATTAGTTTCGCCGTCCGAGGTCGATGCGATCCCTTCTTCTTTAAGATTATCTTACTCGCACTGTTTTATTTCTTTTCCCCTTTAATAAAGTTCTGCCGTCAAGTTGAGGTAGGTATACATTTTTTTCTCGTTGTACCCATTTATTAGTTTCTGACTATACTGACTATATTTGCTTTAGGGGTTATTGTTTTGGCTTTACAATAATTATGTTTGGAGTGGTGTTCTCTTTCTCTCTTTGATGTCTTGGTGACTTCATCGAAACGTTTTTACAGATTAGTCATTTGCATCTGAACAATGTGAACATGTGGAGTGTGGACCTACTTCATTTTACCAACATTGACCTATTTCGAGATTTGTACTTGGAGACTTCGATATTTGTTCTGGAATTCTAATTGCAAGTATGTTACGAAACCTTGGAAATCATTACTGTTGTGTATCAATCCGTTATACCTGACACTACGTATTTTGTTTTTGTCGTTGCCGAAGAATATATACTTATTGAAACCCGAACTTGTTTACGATTACTTTTGTAACTCCGAGAATTCATTTCTGTTTGTTAGATTACATTGTAATTTAGGCATTAGATTTTTCTTGACTTTAACGCTGTTGTACGCGGACTGTAAGGACACTAGTAGTCGACCAAATTGTTCTTTTGCTAGTGTAAAGTCATTTGAATTATTGATTCTTTTTGAGTATTAATGGTAGTTTAGCCTCTCGTGTCAGACGTTAGCATTGCTACTTCGCAATATTTATGTGCAGCGCGATTCACCAACTCTTTTCTTTGTTTGTGGTTTCATTATCTGTTACAGAAAATGCTGAACGTGCCCTTCTAAACCCAGAAGGTTGCGACCCGAAGTTCAAAGGTAAATTCTGTTATTTTCGTCGATTCCCTGATTTAACATTTGATACATATTGGTTTTCGATACAATCGAATTGTAATTTTCTTGATATTCACTTACCGATTATAGCTTCATGGTTTCTGTTTTGATATTAATATTTTCTCCGGCTACGCGTTGATCCCCTTTTTACTAAAAATTAATTTCAATTCAAATATTGACATAGCAGATCTATATATTACAATAACCTCTTTGTAATATTTTTATCATTTGACTAAACCACTATTGATTGTGACGTCAATTATTGTTTATGTTCTATTCCCATCAAGTATTTGATTCTTTTAGCTTCTCAAGACCAGAACAAGGATATCTTAGTCTGCCTTGTTCCCCCTTTTGGTCTCTTTTGACAATTATTTAAGACTAAGTGGCTCCGCGAAAACGGCCGAGTAACAATTTTCGAGCAATTTATCGGTACGGTTGACTTTTCACCTCACTATACATCCCGTATGGCCAGCTCTGAGCATTAACCGGAAATCGTTACTCGAGTATTTTTGTGTATACACAAATTAAATTTTTCTCAGTTAACAAAATTAAATTTTTCTCAGTTAACATTTTCTAGTCAAAAGTTACCCCCTCCTACCCTGGGTATTCCCACGGTTACTTGTTCACTCTACCGCACCCTGGTAGTACCACTCTTAAGTATCCCCGGTTATTTCCAATTTTTCGCGATTTTACCAGCTCTTCATATACTTTTATAATTTTTCAAATAATGATGCAATATACATTTTTGGCACCCCTTAGGCAATTTTCAAAAAATAGCTCAACCAGTATAAATTGTACAACATGCTTTTTCGTATTTTTCTGAACACTATGACAAAATAGTATGTTATGTATTAAGTTTTATAAACGACACTTTAGACACGAGTTTATACGAGTGTCTAGATAACTTAGATATGTTACCTAACGGAATCGCCGTTCCTTAAGCAGATACAGTGAAATATCTTGGTTGCATCTAGATAATAAATTACATTGGCAGCATTACGTGAAACAACAAGCTGAACAGATCAAGCTAAGATTCAGACAAATGCATTGGTTAGTAAGACGTCATTCACAATTAAACTTATTTAACATCAATAAATAAATTGGGAGATGCACACTGGTCCAGTAAACCAAATAAATTCAGCATTTATGTTTGACGTTATCACAACTCATAAATGTGAAGTAAAATACGGTTTTTATGTATAACAAAAGTGCATCAGACAAGAAAAGGAACAAGACGAGAGGTCGTACTAAAGTTGCTTCGAGTGTTTAGTGTCTTTTATTTATTTATTTATTATCCCTCTCTTGTTCTAGGCCCTCAACAGGATTGCGCCCAATTACAGAGTGACCCGCATAAGGCTTTTTAGAGATGCCTCTGCAGAAGGTCTTAAGTTGTTCTATACTACTCCGGTATTTACCTTACGAATTAGGAAAACTGCAGGAAAATCTAATTCGGAGTAGCCAGCAGAATGCTCGAAACTGGTCTAAGGTAATTTTCATCTCTGCCACAGATGAAAAATTCATCTCAACCCAGGATCGAACACCCGACCTCCGGATTTATAGTCCATCGCTCTATCACTGAACCATAAACTCGGTCTTTTGACATTTCTTTACACTATTTAGGTTAATTCTGGTTTAATAGAGTTCTGATTCTGGATTCAAGTGAAATAAAGTCAACTGAATGAAATTACCTACCTGTGACCATGCCCCTGCTCTCCAAAGAGGTCGACACGTACTCTTAAAACATTCTTGCCTATGGGGAGGCTTATTGGCAGCGTTACACCTAGAAGCGTCGAACGTTTCATTCTTGCTATTTTGGCAGATGACTTTTCTCCTTTGAATCGCTACAAAAGAATATTAATAACCTCTATGTACCTAACAAAAGTAATCTCACCTGTGTTCAGAGTTAAACACTTGGAAGTATGACATGCCGACCAATCAGATGTGATCCACTGAGCGCAATCGTTCACCTCGCACTTTTCGACATTGGCCGGAACTGGTAACCCCGCATCTTCGCAAAAGTTGTTTTCGACTTCTTGAGACGTGTTGTGCAGTAAAACCATGCACTTCACCTCTCGCATCTGAAATCCCTCGCCACAGGCCTGCGAACATTTCGACCATTCACTTGCGGACCACTCAAATCTGACGCTATCCGGCGTGCCTTTGCCCAATATCACGACGGAACCGTAGTCATCTTCCGTCGAGTCCGCTATGCTGGGCTCGTCAAAATACGGATGGCTAGAAGATTCGGTCACCATCCGGTGACCTCGGCTATTGGTGAACGTCTGAAATGGCCATAAGTGCTGTGCCTTTTATTATGTGTATGTTTACTGAGGAAACTAGCGAAAAAAGCAAGGACCTCATTTGCGTGTAATTGTGTTCGTTTTATGAGCAATTGAACGTGCAAATTAAATTGTGTGTTTACCTAGAGCAGTGTGGTGAAGTCAGGTGGAAGGCAATGAACATTATAATTGGTATTAGAAGTATGAAAGAATTTTAGGCTAAGAGATGGTGCGGAAAACGCGTTTCCGCATCAACTCCTGCACCGATCTCACCTGTATGTTAGAAATTAATTGCTGAAAGTGCGGAATAATTCTAGTCCCAGAGCTAGAGGCGGCGGGTTTTAGCGAATCAGAAGAAGAAGGAAAGTTCGACGGTACAATCCGACTCTTTGCAGCATTAAGAGAGGAGCATTTTTAGTGAAGAACGGTTGGCAAACGGATAGAAGTTGTCGGTCACTCACCTGATCATTCTCGGAAACCAAAGTCGTGCTTTGAGCGGGTAGTGCGTTCAAGTTGCCCACGTTCGATGTGCCCTTGCGCGTCGACTGTGTGGGGAGAATGATCCGAGTTCGTGGTGTTGTATTCTTCTTGGGCTTGTCGGGCTTCTGCTCGTGCGAGTGGTCGTCATTACCGAAGACGGGATTGAGCTCATCGCGACCAGCTTGAATGTCGGAAATTGCCAAATCGATCCTGTGGCTGTTCTTGTAACCGGCCTGTTTTTGAATTTCTTCTGATGTGGGAAACTCACCGGGACGAGGTTTCACGGACAAGGCCAAATCCGCGGACGATTTCCCAGCCATGCAAGTGTATATTCCGCTATCTTTATACGTTAAATTTAATATCCTCAATGCGCCTTTTTTGGAGACTTTATATTTCTTTACTTTTGGAAGGTAAGAGTGATCTTTCACCCACTGAATTTTGGTACGATTAAACCTCTTGACGGGGCATTTAATTTTAATCATAGATCCGTAAAAAATTGTGGCTGCGCCTCCGACTTTTAATGAGACCTTCTTCTTCTTAGGGTCATGCTGAATGAATGTGCTGTTTGATACCTCTATTTGTGGTTTGTCAGTTTCGAGAACACAGCTTTTAGTGTTGCACGGTTTTTTATCGGGCGGTTTCGGAGTTGGACACATGCTGGCAGGTCGGTCGACAGTGTGATTCTGCGCCATAACTTGTTTACACTCGACCTTCCGCGTCTTTTCACCTCCACCACAATTCTTAGTACATTTGGACCACTCCGTAAGCTTCCAGCGTACAGGACAGTCTAAGACATTGCAATTTTGCCTATCTGGGGGAGGTGGCTGCGGGCACATATTACTGGGTACTATGACTGTGTTACCTCCCCCTTGCGTTACTTCATGTATACACGTGACTTCTCTGGTTTGAATCCCAATACCACACGACTGTGTGCATGGCTGAAAGTCAGAGTAATTCCACCTCGGTGGACAAGGATGATCGTTACAAGTCCGTACCAAAACCTCAGGTTTAAATTCCCTAGGGCACATATACGGCGACGTCACTTTTTGCGTATCGTCCCTGACGCAGTTCACTATCAGTTCTTGTACACCACCAAGGCACGACGCACTACAGTGCGTATACCCTTGCTCTTTCCACGTGTAAGTCGTACCGGGAGAACCACTACCCACTTTAATTGGCATGTCCGCACGATAAGGATCGTCTTTAATGTCAATTCGCTCGGAAGAACACGGTTCCATGAAACACCTCTCTGTAACTACCGGCTTGGGTCCACTGCACTGAGAATCCGGAAGCTTCGCGATTGTACGCGAAAATTCCAAAAATATTTTACAATGCACTTCTCTTTTTCTAATTCCATCTCCGCACGAAACGCTACATGGGCCCCACTCGTCTGCGATAAACCTAGAAGAAGAGACTTTCGTTTCTAACAAAATAAAAATTATACTTCGCAGGCAAAGCAATTCTTCTGATTTGACCAGTTTAGGTTGGTTTACTCATAGATGCAACTATACCATGCGTTTCTATTCAATTCGCACATACGGAATATAAAACCATTCATATGAGATCAATGGTTTTACATTGTTAAAGCTTTGAAGAAGACTTAGATCAAGGTTTCACATAGTTATACCTAAAGTAACATTTGTTCAATTAGTGTTAGCGTGTGCACTAGTGCTCTGGGCATAAATGCACGTGCATTAAGTTATTCTTCCAAAACCCAAGAACGGAGAAGTCCTAAACATGTCTATTTGTGCCTATTTTGCGTTTTTTATGTGTGTACTGTGCCGTTTTGTGCGTCAATACAACTTTAAAAACGAAAGCTTCCTTTTCCTTTAGAAACCAAGTTTGCGTCTGAGCTAGTTTGTGCACAAACTTTCTGAGCTACAGGATTTCATAATCTAGGATAGCATCTTAAGGAAGACAACGAAGGGTTCTTAATTGTGAACAAATTTTAAATATGCCGGTTTTATTATGATTTTTGGAAAAACTGTTACGTTCGTGTGTTTAACCTTTGATTATAAATATTCAAAGACATTAAAGACTATTTCTTCTTCTACTGTATTATTTTGCATTGAGAATTAGGCTCGTTTTTATGTTCTTTGGTATGTCTGTTCCTTAAAATTTTGTGCAACACTAACGGAAATGAGATTGTGCATTCGATCGCATCCAGTCGGTGTTCATTTTCTGTTTTTTTCTATGTTGATGAGTGTGTCTATGAGTGATCACTTTAACCGCATCGGTAGATGAAACAGATGCTTATGACTGCTAATGACATCTGTCATTCTTATTTCAAATGGGACGCGGAGCACGATACAAAATGACGTTCAGAACATATGACAATGTTGTTTCTGTGGAAAAGACCACGACGGCAGAGCCGTTGTTTGCCACCGAAGATAGACTACCCCAAAAATGTTTGTATTTTGTGGATTGGACCTCTGAATCAAAAGTTATTGGCAAAAAACCAATTTCGAAAAAAATTCAATGGGCTGTAACTTATGATCAAGTATCCCAATCTTAAAACTGATTGAAGTTATGGATTCTGTAGGCCGAAATAAATGAGTATTGTATTTTGTAGGAATTAAACGCTTAAAGGGAATTGTATGACAAGACTAGTTTTATTTATATTGAAGAAATTAATTAATTGTTTATTCACATATGCTATTTTACCAAATTAAATTATAAAATCGCATAAGCTTAGAATGTAATCACAACTCCTCCCCAACTTATAAATTTAATCGATCCGGAGAACGACGTACGCGGTTAGAACGGCGTAGCTGCGGTAAAGTATTCTCTTCATTTGTAGGTACACTGGCCGTTATGTCCAACGTAGGGGTATTTATTTCTGGATCAGGTAAAGTATCGGGTAAGATTGTAACATCAGGATGATTGTTAGAGGGGCCATAAGGAATATAATCATTTTGAGGAGCGTCTCGCGGAGTAGCATCCCCAATCCTGCGTAACTGATCAACGTGTCTCTTCCAAACATTACCATTATCAAGCTTAATATTATGATAGTGTAATTTCCCTAACTTTTTATCAACATTTCCAAATTTCCATTTGATATAGTTTGCATAGTTTCTTACAGCAACTCTGTCATTAATTTGGAAATCTCGAACTGCACGAATTAGCAGTTGCATTTTTATTTAAATCGGGTTTAATTAAATCCATCGGGATGTAATTTCACATCCGAACATTAACATTGAAGGTGATTGTTTGGTAATACTATGAGACATTTTGCGATATTGTAAAAGTAATCTACATAATTCATTTTCAACATCAGAACTATTACCATTAATTGCGCGTAATGATTGCTTTAATGTTTGAACGTACCTATCGTTCTGCCAGGTCATTTGTCGCAGGATGTAATGGCGAACTTAAACAATTCCGTTTTGTTTAAGAAAACTTTCAAAAGCGTAAGATACAACATTCCTGCCATTAGTAGGTGAAGTGGACGAAAAGGTTAAATGGAAGAACAGACGGCGGTAGTCTACGTCGAACTGAACTTCGTCTTGTAGAAGTATATATTTTATTTCTATTTTGTTTTTGGGGATAATTATGATACGTAGAATTATAGACTAGAAACCAATTTCGAAAGAAAATTCAAAGGGCTGTAACGTTTGAACTAGTAGCCCAATCTTGGAACTGTTTGAAATTATGGATTCTACAGGCCACATTCTATAAGAAAATTTTTTTTTCCGGGTCGATCTGAGACAATTTTTTTTTCGGGGCTCAAAAAAAGGCAGTGTATAACCTTCCTTTTTTACCAAAAATCGACTACACCAAAATTTCTCGGGAAAACACTTTTTCTTATTAATTTTGGTGCGTAGAATCCAAAACAATTCGTACTTTTTCGATCAGACTTCTCAATCAAAAGTTATGGACTAGAACCCAATTTCGAAAGAAAATTCAAAGGGCTGTAACTTTTGAACTAGTAGCCCAATCTTGGAACTGTTTGAAATTATGGATTCTACAGGCCACATTCTATAAGAAAATTTTTTTCCGGGTCGATCTGAGACAATTTTTTTGTCGGGGCTCAAAAAAAGGCAGTGTATAACCTTCCTTTTTTACCAAAAATCGACTACACCAAAATTTCTCGGGAAAACACTTTTTCTTATTAATTTGGTGCGTAGAATCCAAAACAATTCGTACTTTTTCGATCAGACTTCTCAATCAAAAGTTATAGACTAGAAACCAATTTCGAAAAAAAATTCAAAGGGCTGTAACTTTTGAACTAGTAGCCAAATCTTGGAACTGTTTGAAATTATGGATTCTACAGGCCACATTCTATAAGAAAATTTTTTTCCGGGTCGATCTGAGACAATTTTTTTTTCGGGACTCAAAAAAAGGCAGTGTATAACCTTCCTTTTTTACCAAAAATCGACTGCACCAAAATTTCTCGGGAAAACACTTTTTCTTATTAATTTTGGTGCGTAGAATCCAAAACAATTCGTACTTTTTCGATCAGACTTCTCAATCAAAAGTTATAGACTAGAAACCAATTTCGAAAGAAAATTCAAAGGGCTGTAACTTTTGAACTAGTAGCCCAATCTTGGAACTGTTTGAAATTATGGATTCTACAGGCCACATTCTATAAGAAAATTTTTTTTCGGGGTCGATCTGAGACAATTTTTTCTTCGGGGCTCAAAAAAAGGCAGTGTATAACCTTCCTTTTTTACCAAAAATCGACTACACCAAAATTTCTCGGGAAAACACTTTTTCTTCTTAATTTTGGTGCGTAGAATCCAAAACAATTCGTTCTTTTTCGATTAGACTTCTCAATCAACAGTTATAGACTAGAAACCAAACAGGCTAGTTTTGCTTGCACTCGGGATCTCCAATAAGATTGTCTTTTAAAGAAAAATGGTTGACTAATTACTTAATTACTAGACCTTATATGGGAAAAGGCATTGATTATTTTAATAAACCGATACAACGGAATTTCGAAGGATCAGTATTACCATCACATTTTTAACGACAATTTGGTCATTCAATAGGAATGTCACAAGCCGTTTCTTGGTGAATATTTTCCACAAATGCATCATTATGGATATTTACATGTGCTGGAAGCACGAACAAATCGCTGACAATTAAAACAACGCAACGGATTCGGTATATAAATCCGAACCTTCAAAGGACAAATAGCTGTATCTTTAAATATTCCATTGCGTTTCGTTCTTATTCGCCTAACGCCCGTAACTGCTTGCCTTTTCAGGTTGTCCTTAATTTCTTGTAACGTACAATTCAATGAGGATAATAAACAACACCCTTAGACATATTTAAGGTGGCATGTGGCTGCACAATGATATCAAAGTCTACGGAGCGTTTTATTTCTAATCTGACAATTGGTGTGTCACCTTTAATAGTATTTTACATTATTAGCCAGGTAAGTGAGTTTTTACTGGCGATAGGAGAAGTTGACTGGCGAGCCGTTAGGCGAGCTTGTCATCTCCTAGAGCCAGTAAAAACTATTACCTGGCGTATAATGTACAATATTTTATTTGTTACTCATTTGTAAACAATAGTAAACGTAAATAATTAGTTCTTAAATTGTTCTTGAAGAAATGTCTAAAATATCATGTGATCCATGTAACAGAGACTTCGCATTAATTCTGGCCAATGAAATTACTAGATTACTAACTTGTAAAATTTTTACAGGTCTGCTGTCAGTTTTACAGGTCTGCTGTCAGTTTTACAAGTCAGTAGCGTTTAAACATGACGTTTACCCGTTTGCGTTTTGTCTTGTTAATCAACGTTTACAACTGAGTAACAAATAAAATTATTAACTGAATTTACATTACCAACTAATCCGTACAATTCTTTGCTAATTAAAAATGGACTGATCGCAGAAAAATCTCTTGGGAACGCTATCTACCGTCTTTAGGCCCATATTAAGCACCAAAAGTGTTTTCCAAAAGACCAAGAAAAAAGCCGTCAATTTTTTTGCTGTTGCCAGCGTGGGAAGTAAGGAAAAATAAACGGAATTGTTTTTAAACATTGGAACATGCGGAGAGGGGTAGTTTAGATAGGATTATATGGAAGGCGATTGTACTCGACACCTCCCATGCCCATTGGCCGCCTCCAGGGCGGAAGTAAGTGAATTCAACCCCCAAACCCACAGGGGGTTTTTATTATTAGGATTATTTATTTATTTAACGGAAATACCATTTTTACAAAGAAATACAAAACATAATATCATATGGCAAAATGTAATAACAAAACGAAGTGTGACTATAAATCAAAATTACTGATAAACTTAACAAAAAATATTTCTAATAAAAATCAACTGCATTTTAATTGAAAAAAAGAATGGCAAATTTCATTGTTTCTAATAACCCTTAAATAAACACCTACGTAAAAAAGAATACAATATTATTCATTATTATTATTAATTAAAAGCAGTAAAAAATATCAAACTGTAGCATAGTCAAGATGTCTCCTGTTTGAGATAATATAAAAAACGTTTCGAAAAAAATTGAGACTCGCCCGTTACTTTTAAACGCAAGGATTCACTGTTAAAAAACTACGCCCAGAGAAGATTTCCGTTGTTTGAAAATTCACCGACGGCAAGGTTCCAATTTACAGCTCCGTTGTCAATTTTTGTCGTGCTGGACTGCAAGCGCCTTGATTTTTGGGTGTCGATTTCATGTCTTTTCCTTCGTAAACCGCATCGAAGTACATTTCGATTAAAAAAAAGGTAGAACGCTCTGGAGAGCCTTAATTTGGGAATTCCGAAGTAATAGTCTGGACGGGATTTTGCCTGTGCTCCTAGTGGAGGTTATCATATGCGTTTTTTCCCTTTAGATATAAGTACAGCAATGTTCCATTTCGCATGTAACTTCTTTAGATATAGATGTTTCGGCTGTAATTTGTCGTAATGTAATTTCCGTCGACAATCTTTGCTTCATCTACGATTAGCCCTTAATAAAGAAAACCTCTTATGTAGTGGGTCCATTTATGATTATATTTTAGGTGAACTGTGTAAAAATTGTGCCGTATATGGTTATTAGAATGAATTTTAATCTAGTTCATTTGAAATTTATAGAGAAAATTATAAATAGTAAAATCTATAAAGGGTATAACTTGTGTTTGATTTTGCGATGTTTTTAATATTGAAGATCATAACGCCAGAGTAGACCAGCATCAAACGAGCACATCGCAATAATTCAGTCGCAAACTTTGGTCACAATAGAAAGAGTTCGTTCTTCGTTCCAATACGTCCGTTGACATTGACTAACAAAGCATGCATAAATCAGCACAAAACAAGCACCAAGTTAGTGCGTTTGTGACTTCTCAGTTTTTAAACTAGGGGGAACAAAGTGCACGTCATAATTGCGAAGGCAGAGTCGGCACCTGCTACGTTCGACTACAAGATGCCGACTTCGGCCATTTTATATATTGTGCCCAAATGAAATAAGTGTCAAATAAGTTGATGGTGCTGCAAACAATACAATTGTATTTTAATTGTACCTCACATAAACCCACCCGCAGGCAAAGTACACTTTGTAATTGCTGAAAAACACATAAAGCATACAACAGTTGATTGGATACAAGGTTACAGTAAAGTGCATAGAGTGCCAATCGAGTATAAGATTTGGCGGTATTGCAAAAAATTTGTCTTTTAACACGAACATGCATTACAATATTGAAGCTCAAATCAAAGACGCTTACGTGCTTTCGGAAGGTATCACTTGCTCTCCTATGAGCTTTTCAGCATGAGCTGGCGGCGGAGGCGGGTATGGTTGAATTAGTGGCTGCGTGTGGTAAAGACCAGGAAGTAACTCTTCAACGCTGTCGAAAAAGTGGGGGCATTGTATGCCTGTCGAACATGCTTTTGTGGAAACGGGCTCGTCGATTATGGGGCAAAACGAACTTGGAAAATCGTCGGCGTTCCTACATTCCACCACCCGCACCTGCATACCCTCGCCACAGGAAACGGAGCACTAAAATAATGTTGATCAAATGCCGGAATTACAACCACAGGTTTCTCACCCCAGACCAAGGTAGTGTATGCCACTTCGGACACACCATCTGGTTGCATGGTTCCTGGTATCTAGGTTTCCGCCCTGGACATTTTTGCTCGCTAACCTAGTACCAAATTAAATACCAATGTCAAAAGAGTAATGTCGATACTTGAAGCATTTTGATGTACCATAATTATCCTATTTGTATTATTTAAGAACTACAAATACAAATTCTTGTTTTCTTGCAGTTTTGAGGGATATTTATTAATTAGTTTAAAATTTCGGCTGCTTTATTATGTAAATCAGAAACTCGTACTCTGAAAGTTTCCAATCTTGTTAGTAGTTTTCAGAACGGACATATAGTGAATAAGCTGCTTGAAAAATAACGAGATGGTTTCCTCATAAAATTTTAATTACATAATGGTCCCAAACCTATAAAAAGGAAAATACCTTCATCAAACGCTCACAGCAATCATGCCTGCTCTAAAAAAAGAAGGAAAGCCTGTGAAATAGCGAACCTTTTCAATAACCCTTATTGATTAATTTTACAGGCTAAGAATTTTATTGTTCCCTTTGGTATCCTTAAGAAATCTCTTTCCAATTATTTCCAGATACAACAAGTTCCGTGTCTCAATTTTATTTCGCCCGCAAAATCGATTTAGGACAATAAGAATTACCTTTACTTTGGTTTTATTTCCACGATCTTCGACGCAATAGACTTGCCGAAAACGAGTGCCGCCGCCGCAAGTGGCCGAGCACGCCCCCCAATCAGTCGTATGCCACCTATAATTTAAACGGGAAACAGTTTAAGGGAGACAATTTCGAGATAAACCAAAAATTAAAATGCAAAACTGAACCCTACCTCGGCGGGCAATTGTGAATATTGCATTCGACAACGGTCGTATCCGGCTTTAACGAATCATTACATAATTGCTCCTCGACCTCCATTCCAGTCAAAATATTCTGGCAAACGGGTCGCGACATCTTGTAACCTAAGGGCGCAGAAAAATTAATTTTTAATCGATCGAATCAGTTTTACCTCCACCGCAGGTGACGGAGCACAAAGAAACCGATTTTAAGGTCCAATGATAAAGTGGTTGAGAGCAGGAGGAACCGTCGCCGCCGCAATTTCCGCAAGAATCTACCTGCAGGGTCGATCCTATCCTTAGGTCACATCCTACTCTCTGAAACAAATTGGACCTAATTAATCGAATGAATTTACACACTTGGTTCTCTTTGCTAACGACAAAAAGTTTCTTCACTTCATTTTCTAATTTCAGCTTAAGATACCATTGGAATCGGAAAAAAAGTGTCCTATATTTGGAATGGTTTTCCATTTCACGTTTTTCAGGTTTTAGCGGATTATATGTTTTATTCCTTTATTCAGCCTTTCGGTTAGCTGTCCAATTTCGAGTGCATTCATAATTTAGCAATTTCGCTGTGTCGAAACCTACGTCATTCCACCATGAAAAATTAAAGCTCTATCCGAGAAAAATTATTTGGTAAATTTTGCATGCTGAGTGTATACTGTCTTTCGTTAAACGTGGTAGTTTTTCCAATCTAGAGGTCGTAGCGGCTGATATACAGGGAGAGTTGTTTAAGAGAACATACGTAGAATTACCCTGATAGCTTGGCCTATATCACGTCAAAAGTTTAGATCTGAGCGAACATTAAAAATATTGTACGCTTCGTTGGTTAGGGCTAACTTAGAGTACGCGGACATCGTATTATGATATTCATAGTAACAATATTGAAAAGGTGCAGAACAGATTTTTGTATTTTAAGACTGGAGGGTCAATATTCAGTACTGGTTAGATTTATTTCAGATGCAGAGTCTAGATAAGAGACGAAAAATCATTCAATTAACTTTCCTTTTCAAGTTAATTCATGGTTCCGTTAACATCAATTTACTGAGTCAAGTTCATTTGTTAGTACCAACTTTTTTCAATCGTAGTAAATTTCTATTTCATATTCGTCACTCGCGCACAAATATGATGTTTCATTCGCCATTAATTGCCATGTTACGCCTCTATAACAATGTTTCGTTGCATATCGACATATTTCTTGCTTATCAATCTTCTTTTCACAAAGTCTGTATTGATACTGTGTAGTTATTATGAATTCATTGTCCATTATTATAGTTTTTTTAAATAGTTTTTCTTTTATAATTTTTTTAAAGTTTAAATTATAAATTGTATCAGCTATAAATTATAAATAAGTTACGTTAAATAATGTCATTAATCAATTTTTTTAAGTTCCATCACCTGCATTATGATTTCCATTACAATTATTAGTATCGATGTTATAATTTAGTTTTAGTTCTCTTTATTTCTGTCTATCTGTTTTGTGAATGTATATTGTAACGTGATTTATAAATTCGGGTTCGATTTATATCAATATTTATTAAACAAAACTAAAACAGTATAAAAACCGTACAATTTATATCGACTATTTATATCACACACTTCGCAATTTATATTTCCGCGCTCTATGTTTCATACGTACTCGATCTCGTTCGGTAGTAGACTGCTTGCGTGTTCGATCCGCAACCATTTATCACGCAAGCAATGTAAGTCAAGAAAATTCGCGTAATTTACCGGAGCGTTTCCGTTACACTGCCCCCTTCTTAATTCTGGACGTCTCGTTCAGAAACTGCGTTAGTATTACTTTTTAATGCCTCGTGTCGGAATCTGCAGTCAGAGCCTGCTCGACAAACACCTTTCTTGAAAAAGTAAGAGTCCACAGCTTTGCGGAGGGTCGTCCCCTGTGGGTTGAAGCATCATACTGTAATTCGAACGCTAGTGTTCCTAAATATCACTTCGATCATGGTTCGCACTATCTTCCAGTCCAACCCATCTAAACCACATCCAATCTTCGGGATCGCCAAGCTATTTATGTCATAGTATGCCATGAGTTTCTTTAAGCTTTTTTAGGCTATCATCACAAAAACGGTGATTTTGTGGTCGCTTTTGCGGCCATAAAGTTTCACTTTATTGTACGCTTCTGTCAAACTTTACTTTATTGTACACATCTGTCAAACTGTACATATTTGAAACTGATGTGTGAGAAACAGTAATCTGTTTGATACAAAGCGTCTATCTGGTCTAGCCCTATCAAGGATTGGGCTATTCACGTGCGTTTTTTTCATTTTCGGACTTGTAGGAATGTTTCACACTATTTTGCATAATCACAATGTTCACATTTAAAATTATAGTTTGACGTTTCAATCTTTGCTGCTTGCAGACCTTTTTGAAGTGTAGAACCAAAACATGAGGAAGATGTTATTGCTTACATTATTATACGAAGAATCACCAGCAATTAACCGAAAACACAAGTGGCTACCTATACCTGCCATCAAAGTAGGTAATCAGGTTTCTAATAATTGTACAGCATGTTAACTATAAGGTCTTGGAAGCCACAGTTACGAAGGACCTATTGCATTTGACGTTATTAAAATCTTGTGCAACGGAGGATGTTGCGATTGTACTTTTACTCTCAAACGCCTGCTCTTATATCATATATGACTTAGGGTCGCAATGCTTGCATCTTCCAAAATTTCATTTAGGGTATCTGAACTGTCGCTATCGCCCATTTTGATAAGCACAAAACACACGCAAAGATGCTAATTATAATTACATACGACAGGAAATGCTTTGTTTTTAATTGTCTAAGATAACTATGATTTTCAGAAAAAATATGTTTATGAGCAAATTTTTGAATTCTTTTTTGATGATCGCCTAAAAAATGTTGTGTGCACCTTGGCCAAAAGTTATTTGTTTAGGCCTCATCTGAATTGCGGCCTCGGCTACCGCCTCGGCCACAAACAACAGCTTCGGCCAAAAAAGATCACTTTTACGGCCTTGGTACACAAATAACTATTTTTGGCCGTATTACCATTACGGTTCATTTCGACTGTAGAGTTTGTATTGTGACTTTATTGAACTAATGTATTCTCCATATCCAAAGAAGTACACGAGGTTCGCAATGGCAATTTATAAAATAAACAATAAACCTAATTTCTAACTTAGTATGAAAGCAATAACCACTGAAATTCAACCGGGCAATCTAGGGGTGGTAGCTAACCCGATCCCTTTTTTCCGCCTACTTTCTACTCCCTTGTTTAAAGAACAATACCAATGAAAGTAATATTAAATAGGTACTTATCCGAGCCATCCTTGAGGGCCAGGGTACTCAAACGATTGTGACTGTTATGATGCGAGTTTTACTTACATTTACCACAATTGCAATTCCGATTCAGATCACTATAGCTTTGGTTATTCAGTTTCTCGTATTACTAATTTACTTAATTTGTGAGTGTTCAATGAAACAAAATGACTGATAAATACGCTGTGTCAACACTCAACACACCCCAACTTTGGGGTATGTTGACACATTTGCAGCAGTAACCACTCAAATTATTAAACAACCGTTGAAATGGATTAACGTTAATTGTCGATAAACTCAGTCATAGTAAAATGCACGTATGCAAAATGGATTAGAAATAATTCATAGTATGATGTATATATATGTAAATAGGTGTAAGGGGCAATAAAGTTACGAAGGCCAGAATTAAATGTAAGCATGATAAATGAATGGAAAGGATTGATCGGATTTGCATGTACGTCTCACAAGGCGTGCAAAATAGTAATGTTTAATGATGATGAGTTGGTAAACTGTTGGGTTGATTTACACCTGTCACTTCTTTTAGTTAGCAGACAATACTTAAACGGACACTTGCAAAAATTAGGTAGCATTTTGATTCACGATGATATGGGGAGGCACAAGAAGCAAAATCTTATGGCATAGTGTCCGCACTACATTTACAAAATGGTTCAATCTAATTCATTTTGATTTTATAAATTTACACGTTGAATGGGAAGGAGCGCGAGATCCCCTATTTGAGAGATTACCCCAGACGAAGTATGAATAAATCAGAAAGCGGGATACAGCATCGCATATGCCATTAACCTACCTCGGTGTATTTTAAAAAACCTCGCATTACGCTTTATTTTTTATTAAACGACTAGGACACTATACATAGCCTTATTTTCTAAACAGGAAAATAATTGCTTACCAGACATTTTCCATCGATGCACATATCCAAGCTGCCTTGTCGACATCTAGTACCATCTTCTACTTTATCATTTAATTGTGCCACAACCACAAGTGGCTCGTTTCCTTCTAGATCGTTGCTAAAGGAAGCCTTCCCTCTACAAGTCAATGAGCAAGGATTTCGTTCGTCATACTCCGCCGACCACAGGAATAGAGATCCTTGATATAAAACGCTGTTGAAAGCTCCACATTGTTCCTCGCGGAAATCTCGGAACACCGGACAGAGCTGAAAACGTGAACAAACGCTCTGAGTACCTACATAAATATGAATTTAATAAACTGCTAAATAATGTTAACGCTTTACGACCAGAATCCTAAATTTTAGGATGCGAATAATTTACGACTTGGATAAACGTAAACAGTGGTACGTCGTAACTTAGCAACTTTACGGTAATAAAGTGTTGAGGTGGCACAAATTTCCTACTCGTTTTATGGATTATTTGACATTGTTGTACCTATTTCGGTTCTTAATGGTCACGAAACGCTCCGCTCCGAATTTCAACTTTATAGAATCGCTCACATCACACATGCAAAAAAAAATGGGTCACGAAATTAAAGCTACACGAGAGAATGAGCTTAAAGCTCGGAAAGCAATATCGGTCTCTATATTGGTATAAAAGAACGAAAACGAGTGTATATTTGCGCTGTGCGGCAACTTAGTGGAATTCGGGTGAAATTTTACAAAGACGGCGTACTTAAGGCGTCCATCCGTGATCACTTTTTAGTCGATCTCATATCCCACCCCGAAACAGGCTCGTATTTTTCCTCGGCTTGACTGTAAGCCCATTTCTCGCAGATAACAAGTACTATGACTATGGAGTAGGCACCCCTTATGTACTCTTATGAGAGATGCTACCCTAACAATAAAGTGGATATCGGTAACGAATAAAAACTTCGTTTAGTAGATAAAAAATAGAAGACAGAAGTGGATCCTACGTGAATATTAACGGTATGCTGTGTAAAATGCATGGAATATGACCAAATACAAAGTACAGTATGCAGTATTCATGGGCAGATCTACTGCCTTCATGGAACCTTGTAAGTGTAGACATATAATCAATGAATACGTATAATGGGGGTTATAGCGATGCCAGAAGTTTGCAGGACCTCTTATGGAAAAACGATGGGGATTCCTACATTTTATGTATTTTCTTTCGAACGCACATATAAAATTCTAACAGTGATCAAAGTAATAATAATAATAATAATAAATAGTATTCATTGTATTAATTAGAAAAAGAATATAAAAATGAGGAAAATTAAATGCGGGGCGAGATTCAGTTACATAGTCGGTATCGGGGGTCTGGTTTGTCGTGTGTACGCTCATAGTTCAAACAATGAGTGCCAGAAGTGTGGTACGAATTGAGACTCTCCAGAGACAAACAAAATTACAATACGAGGAAAACGCAGATGGAAGCGTTATTAATTAAGAACGACGCGTGGAACTACGTAAATGGACAAACTCCGAAGCCTGTGTGGATACGGAAGATGCCGCATCGGTGGCAGCTCTTTTAGCTTGGAAAAAAACTAGGAGTAAGACGAAATCTGATATTGTTATCACGATTAGTCTATCCGAATTGAAACAAATTAAGGGATGTGAAACTTCGAATGCAGTATGAACCAAACTTTACAGGGTGTCCATTATGTATGGAATATAATATACATATATCTCGGTAAATATCGAATATATACAACATTTTTGTATATGAGTAGTGATATAAGGCCGATTCTAACTCAAAAGTCACTAGATGTGAAAAAGTCACTAGAAAAGTAACTAGGTTTGAAACTCTGCTCAAAGTCATTAGAAGGTCACGAGAGGTTTGAAACTCGGCGTGAGGTTTGAAACTCTGCTAGTGATATAGGGGCCGATTCTAAATCAAAAAGTCACTAGAAAAGTAACTAGGTTTGTAACTCTGCTGGCGAGGTTTGCGCCAGTGCTAACATCAAGGGGGTCGAGGTTTGCGTCTGAGATAAAGTATCGGAGGTTTGTGTCCGACCTAAGAGTTGAACGCGGGTTGTGTCCTGAACTAAAGTGGGTCTGAGCTAAAGCGTTCTCAAGGTCAAATGGTTTTGAACTGGGGGGGTTCTTGTCGATATGGTTCTGAGCTGTGATCGCTGTCGTCAAGGTCATTTTTGTGCTACAATTCTATTCTAAATATGACTTTGAAGATGTGGTGGGGGATTGGCGCTTATATAAGCCTCTATATGTTCGTTACAAGGTGTACATGTATTAAAGATGTCGTGGATGCCATATGCTGAAGAATCATGGACCAAAGCTGTCGATTTCGTGACGGCCGTGAGACGCCTAAAGCAGCATTTGTGGCAAGCGTGGAAGGATGAATCTTCAGAATCCGGTGAAGAGTGTTAAATTCAATGAATTCAATAATAGAACATATGTAATGGTGACGTGGCATTCTGCTTATTGGGCAGGTCCATGGGAAACTGTAGCAGTCGATAGAATTCGATTCCGACGCAATATCATGTAATAATTTCTCCAGTATTACAAGCGGATCATCGTTCGGCAGTGTATCGCGGTAGATTTCAAGGTCACGAGTTGGAAATATAAGGGTGAGCGGTAGCGATGGTTTCAATCAGTCCAGTGGTGTTATTGAAACAGTTAAAATGGATCTTAACGCACTAAACAACAGTACATTCTGTAAGGTATTAAAAAATGCCAAGGACTTGGAAGTGGGGGAGAAGTTTAGAATTGTGAATGCCGACACCATAAATACAAAATATGGTGATCGAATAATATTGGAAACTGAAAATTTTAAATGTGTGCTGCCATTACGATTCTATGAATACTTCAAGGAAGGCGATCGCCTGAACGTCCTCAAAGAGTCCTTGAAGACTAGGGATGTATTCATCGAAAGCGCCGGAACAGCTGGGAAAAACTACCAATTTAAAATTTATGTAAACAATAGATTAGTGTTGTTGTTGTTGTTGTTGTCGTGGTAAAATAAAACCTAATATTATAGATAATTGTCTTTTCATTTCGAAATAAAATGAATGTCCCATGAAAAAAATACTTCAGTTGTGGAGTGGTCGTCGTCGTCGTGTACTTCGCTCTCTCATGAATACACTAAAGAAACTATCATCCATGGCGATTTTTCACGCTAAGTTTTTTTATAAGCACGGGCGTTGAGTGTTCGTTATTCAATGGGCACGGGTCTTACGGCAATGCGTACTAAGTTGCATATAAGGAAGATTTTCGGTCCTTTTTTTAGCACGCCAAAGTGCGTTTATTGGCAATAAGCAACAAAACATAATAAGATCAACATAAAGATATCTTTTATTCCTTTTTACGGTATGCCTACAATAATACAAATTAAGTACACATAGAAATTATACGAGCAGTTGCGTGTGAGCGAGAAAATTTCATTGCAGATTTTTCTTTGTATGTAGTCGTACTCTACTTAATTTGCGCTGCACTTCAAACACCTCCAGGTCCGATTTGAATTTTTTAATTCTCCTTAACAAATCGTCTATGCGTATTTTTCTTCGATGGCGGTCATCGGGATCTTCTGCAATCATCATTACTTTTGTCATTTCCTCTGATGCCAGTATAGAAATGACTTGTAAAACGTTCACTCATGTCCTTTATACTTGATTTTAGTGAAGAAATGAACCCACGAATTAGCAACACTCAGAACCATCAGGAAACGGTTCAATCACATACAAAACTAGACACAAACCAGCGCAAGTTTAAAAGGAAGCAGTTTAGTTCAGAAATAAGTTGGACACAAACCTCCGATACTTTAGCTCAGACGCAAACCTCGACTCCTTGACCTTGACGTTAGCACTGGCGCAAACCTCGCCACCCAGTTCAAAACCGTTTGACCTTGAGAACGCCTTAGCTCAGACCCACTTTAGTTCAGGACACAACCCGCGTTCAACTCTTAGGTCGAACACAAACCTCCGATACTTTAGCTCAGACGCAAACCTCGACCCTTGACGTTAGCACTGGCGCAAACCTCGCCAGCAGAGTTACAAACCTAGTTACTTTTCTAGTTACTTTTTCGTGTCTAGTGACTTTTTGATTTAGAATCGGCCCCTATATCACTAGCAGAGTTTCAAACCTCACGCCGAGTTTCAAACCTCTCGTGACCTTCTAGTGACTTTGAGCAGAGTTTCAAACCTAGTTACTTTTCTAGTGACTTTTTTTCACATCTAGTGACTTTTGAGTTAGAATCGGCCTTATATCACTACTTATATGAAAGTTGTTTATTTCCCATAATAAGGAAGGATTCAGTTTTTTTTATTTCAGAAATCAAATGAGTAACGGAAAAAATTTATTTTCTTTAAATGGCAGTGCACCTTTTCATTAGGCTCATTTGATAGCGATTTTTTTTCTCTTTTCAATAATGTAACATGTTAATACCCTTATTCAAGAAAATTTTTCAAAAATTTAAGATAATTAGATCAATAACAGGCAACTCTTTAAATAGAACGACTTCAATTAAGGATCTAGGAGTTTACTTTGACAGTTCCTATACCTTTACAACTCACATTACCACGGTTATAAAACGGTCTTTTCAAACCTTAGGTTTCATTATTCGTACGAGCTCTGATTTCACGAGCCCAAACACAATTAAAGCTTTATACATATCTTTTGTAAGATCTACGCTAGAGTATTGTTCAATCATATGGTATCCCATACATAAAAAGTACCAGGAGGAACTAGAACGTGTTCAACGTGGTCTGGTTAAATATTTATACTTTCGTAAGGAAGGCACTTATCCGGAAAGAGGGTACTCACGAAGTACATTAAATGACATGTATAACCTAATGCCTATTAGTATTAGAAATAAGCGACCTTTTTATTTAATCTGTTATATATTATTATTATATTATTATATTATATTATATTTTGATTGTAACGCACGTCTACATGTCGCACTAATTTGATGCAAAGGTCGCCTCCAATAAGCTACATACGAAACGAGGGGTTCCTCAGGGATCCATATTAGGACCGTTGCTCTTTTTAATCTACTTTAACGATTTTCCCCAATATATGAAGCCGTATGCTGACTGCATTCTGTATGCAGATGACTCCAATATTTTCTTAAAACGGGAAAACTTGGATAAAGTTTCAGCAACCAAAGAAAAACTAACATCTCTGGCCTCGACATGGTGTATAGCCAATGACCTGATCCTAAATAAAGGAAAAACAGAAGTGTTACTAACTACGTTAAGGCATCACACCTTTGATAACCCTAGTTTTGT